CTCTTTTTTTTTTTTTTTTTTTGTTGGTAACGGGGACCCGGGCGGCGGAAAGTTGTTCCTGAGCAGGCTCTCACGAGGACTGTCTCTGTCCCCAGGTTATGAAGACAGCATGGAGTTCCCAGACCACAGTAGACATTTGCTGCAGTGTCTGAGCGAGCAGAGGCACCAGGGCTTCCTTTGTGACTGCACCGTCCTGGTGGGAGATGCCCAGTTCCGCGCGCACCGAGCTGTGCTGGCTTCGTGCAGCATGTACTTCCACCTCTTTTACAAGGACCAGCTGGACAAAAGGGACATTGTTCATCTGAACAGCGACATTGTTACAGCCCCGGCTTTCGCGCTCCTGCTTGAATTCATGTACGAAGGGAAACTCCAGTTCAAAGACTTGCCCATTGAAGACGTGCTCGCAGCTGCCAGTTACCTCCACATGTACGACATCGTCAAAGTGTGCAAAAAGAAGCTGAAGGAGAAAGCCACCACCGAGGCGGACAGCACCAAGAAGGAGGAGGACGCCTCCAGCTGCTCGGACAAAGTCGAGAGCCTCTCGGACGGCAGCAGCCACATGGCGGGCGACCTGCCCAGCGACGAGGACGACGGCGAGGACGACAAGCTGACCCTCCTGCCCGGCAAAAGGGACTTGGCGGCCGAGCCCGGCAACATGTGGATGCGCCTGCCCTCGGACTCGGCGGGCCTGCCCCCGGCCGGCGGGGACGCAGAGCCACACGCCGCGGCAGCTGGAAAAACAGTGGCCAGCCCCTGCAGCTCCACAGAGTCTTTGTCCCAGAGGTCTGTCGCCTCCGTGAGGGATTCGGCAGATGTTGACTGTGTGCTGGACCTGTCTGTCAAGTCCAGCCTGTCAGGAGTTGAAAATCTGAACAGCTCTTATTTCTCTTCACAGGACGTGCTGAGAAGCAACCTGGTGCAGGTGAAGGTGGAGAAAGAGGCTCCGTGTGAGGAGGGCGAGGTGGGCGCTAATGACTATGACATGGAGCATAGCGCCGCGAAAGAGAGCGGGGGCGCTAACGCCCGCGGGCCGTACGAGCCGGCGCACCTGGCTCCGCTGCGGGAGGACTCGGTGTTGAGGGAGCTGGAGCGCGAGGACAAGGCCAGCGACGACGAGATGCTGAGCCCGGAGCACGAGCGCGGCCCGGCCGAGGCGGCCGTGGACGGCGGCCTGCTGCCCTACGTGTCCAACATCCTGAGCCCGGCCGGCCAGATCTTCATGTGCCCGCTGTGCAACAAGGTCTTCCCGAGCCCGCACATCCTGCAGATCCACCTGAGCACGCACTTCCGCGAGCAGGACGGGCTGCGCGGCAAGCCGGCCGCCGACGTCAACGTGCCCACCTGCTCGCTGTGCGGCAAGACTTTCTCGTGCATGTACACGCTCAAGCGCCACGAGCGGACCCACTCGGGCGAGAAGCCCTACACGTGCACGCAGTGCGGCAAGAGCTTCCAGTACTCGCACAACCTGAGCCGCCACGCCGTGGTGCACACGCGCGAGAAGCCGCACGCCTGCAAGTGGTGCGAGCGCAGGTTCACGCAGTCGGGGGACCTGTACAGACACATCCGCAAGTTCCACTGTGAGTTGGTGAACTCCTTGTCTGTCAAAAGCGAGGCCCTGAGCTTGCCCGCGGTCAGAGACTGGACCTTAGAAGATAGCTCTCAAGAACTCTGGAAATAATTTTCTATCTCTCTCTCTATATAAATAATATATATATCGACACGTACATATATATACATAGATCTCTATCTAGTTGTGGTACGGTCTAAAAGCAGCCTTGTTTCCTGGAACTAAGACGTCGGGGTGTTGACTCGGTTTTGCACTTTAGAGTAGCATGAGACTCTCGCTAATTTAGCATTCTGGTAAAAGAGACTCTGGAGCAAGTCGGAGACTAGAGAGGGCCTTTTCTTTCGAGGGGGCAGGGGGAGGAAGCCAATAAGAACCTTTGAAACAGGTCGTCCTATCACAAGATGCTTTCACAGGGCTTCATTTTGTCGACACTGCATTGTCTTCTGAGCTCTCGCTCTCGCTCTCTCTCTCTCTCTCTCTCTCTCTTTTTCCACTTTGTTTTTGTTTTGTTTTGTTTTGTTTCGGAGTAGAGATCCCCTCCAGTTTTATTAGCCTCTCTATATGTCACAAATTGCATGAATCTTTTCTGGCTGTTGGAAACCTGAATGCTTTTAGACCCAAATGGGAGATTTCTGAGATGCTGGATTATCTATTTTTAAACAAGCAGTTGACTTAAAACTTTCTGTGGCAACTTCTGGTTTCCTGACGGTTCCCAATGAGAGAAATGCGGAAAGTACACTGGGCTCACTGGGACGCTGTCTTTGTGAAGGTTTGCTTGGGATGGAAAAGGATACTGCAGCTCCAGCAGTGTTGAACTGTGTGTTGAAAAATGTGAATTACTGTTCTTGTATACTGTAATTGATTACACGGGCTGGGGGGGGTGTCAAAGAACTTGACAGGTTGTGTTGATGCTCTTAGTTGAGTCTTGAAAAGTAAATATTAACGCTACAGAAATGCATGAGTTTCAATATATTTTTTGTCTTTGTTTGCATTGTATAACTTTAACGAGTGAGTTTAAAATTATTTAATTTCCTTAGAAAAACAAAATAGCACCGTTTGGGGAAAAAAAACCTGGTGTTATGAAGAACGTAAATGCACTGTTTTTATTTTTATTTTATATAATTTAAATTGACTTTCCCACTGTCTTTAAGTTGAAACTGTTAAGCTGAATAAAAACTTAAGCTGCAAATTGATAACTTCGCTACATAACAAGGAAAATATAAATGTTTACAAACGGCTTAAAGATTTGCATGTGCAGTGTGCATTTGTAACAGACTTCTGATTGCACAGAACCCATGCCAGCTCAAAGTTTAGGGGTACACATTTACCCAGTGGAGCATTTTTAGAATAACTACTGCACAAATTGACAATAGGTCATTCTCTCTTTTTTTTATTTTTGTTTTTGGGTTTTTTTTTTTT